GTGGTAAAATCCACTCAGAACACCTTAGCAACCACCCAAAACACCCTATGCTATAGCAACTTTGTAAAATCCACTCAGAACACCTTAGCAACAACCCAAAACACCCTATGCTATAGCGATGTGGTAAAACCCACTCAGAACACCATAGCAACCACCCAAAACACCCTATGCCATAGCGATGTGGTAAAACCCACTCAGAACACCTTAGCAACCACCCAAAACACCCTATGCCATAGCGATGTGGTAAAATCCACTCAGAACACCTTAGCAACCACCCAAAACACCCTATGCCATAGCGATGTGGTAAAATCCACTCAGAACACCTTAGCAACCACCCAAAACACCCTATGCTTTAGCAACGTGGTGAAATGCACTCAGAACACCTTAGCAACCACCCAAAACATCCTGTCTGATCAGGATGTTTTCTGTCTTGTTGATCTGTGAACTTGTCAGCCAATCGGTGCGCGAGACCAAAGCCGCGTCACACCTCCTGCAGACGGTTTGGGCCTATAAGGATCTGCGACACACGCTGTATAAGGCCGGCTGGAACAAAACACACTTCAAGGTAACAGCAGTTAAACACGGGCGGATCGATGCGTGTTTCACAGCCATACTTATTAAATTAATTTAAGAGAGCACTGTGCTGATGATGAATATCGATCGTGTGTTTTAGCCAGCTGTCTCTGGCCTGCCCAAAAAACAGAGGAACGCCAAGCAAAGGAACGATGACATCACACTGCCCTTAATGGAGAAGAGCCAAGGTTACGAATTCCTGCTGCTTGAATGCAGCATATTTATGAGGCTCCAGCATTCATGAGAATGACAGAAGTGCTGTGCCTTCTTTGTTATGCAAGCTTTAGTGTTAGAATTAAGTGTGTGTGTGTGTGTGTGTGTGTGTGTGCGCGTGTATTTAATGCACTAATGCAGTGATGTGTGTGTGTGTGTGTGTGTGTGTATTTAATGCACTAATGCAGTGGTGTGTGTGTGTGTGTGTGTGTGTGTGTATTTACAGTTTTTAAAAATTGCTTGGACACTAACAGTGGTACTTGAGGCCCACTTAGTGAAACCATTCACTCATATACCTAATCTTTAGACCAAGTCTGCAAAACTACAAGCACATTACATGCTTTAAACTCAGTTGATATTGTAAAACAAGCTTTTTGCAAAACTCTAAACACAGTTCTCTGCATTACACATATTATTCGAAACGAACAGCTCTTTTGTTTAATTTGGGAAACACTGCCATTTAAATGCCACACTCATTTACTGATGACCTACACACAGTTATCATGCATGAAAACACTTATACATCATTTGTTCACTTAGTAATCAAAACTCAGTTTTTTTATAAAGAAATTATTTTTACCCCCTTGCATTTCTGTTTTCTGTACATTGTATCTATATTGTATGAAGTGCTCTATCTATCTATCTATCTATCTATCTATCTATCTATCTAAGCTCTTTTGTTTAATTTGGGAAACACTGCCATTTAAATGCCACACTCATTTACTGATGACCTACACACAGTTATCATGCATGAAAACACTTATACATCATTTGTTCACTTAGTAATCAAAACTCAGTTTTTTTATAAAGAAATTATTTTTACCCCCTTGCATTTCTGTTTTCTGTACATTGTATCTATATTGTATAAAGTGCTCTATCTATCTATCTATCTATCTATCTATCTATCTATCTATCCTGAATATGCATACAAGCCAAGCCAGAAAGTCAACTTTATTTCTGAAGTGCTTTATACAATTTAGATTGTTTCACAGCAGCTTCACAATAGTATCAAATTCACATTCTGCTGTAAAGCAGCTCTAACAAGTCAATAGTGTCATTCTACAGCTCAAGTCAGTTCGGTATTGATTCAGTTCAGTTGCATAACTGTAAAAATCATCATACTGCATATACAGTGTACATATATGTGCATATGCATGTACTGTATGTGTGAGTGCTATGACAAACTCCTGCGCTCCACTGCACTCTGAACAAGCAAAAAAAAAACACGAGAGCAGTGTTTTACAATTTTCACATCTGTGTGTAGTTTGGCCTGTATGTGGCTAATCATTTTATGTTTGTGTGTAGAGTTACTACGCAAAAATTAAATTTTTAGAAGAGTCAAAGTAGTTTTGAAAGAAGTGTTTACTTTTGCAAGACGTGTGTGACATTTTGCATGTTGTGTGTGTGTGTTTTGTGGTTTTGTGTGTAGAGTTTTAAGAAATGGAGCCATAGTTTCAAAAACCGTGTGTAAGCATTTTGTACTAATGCAGTGATGTGTGTGTGTGTGTGTGTGTGTGTGTGTATTTAATGCACTGATGCAGTGATGTGTGTGTGTGTGTGTGTGTATTTAATGCACTAATGCAGTGATGTGTGTTGCTGTTTCTGCTGCAGATGGATACTGCACTGTTGATCAGGCAGAGCGAGCAGCAGACGCTCCGTGTCACATGATTGAACGAGAAACTTTTCAGGTCAATGATCATGTTGTGTGCGGTGTCATTTCTGTTCTCCAGAAACTTTTAAACTCTTCATTCATGTCAAATGTATTCATATTGCATCGTTAAAAGCAACATAGGTGCTTTAAAATAACAATCCAAAACCTAAAATGATAAATGAGATCATCATATAACAGATATCATATAAATTGTATACAACTGCTCAAATGCCAAGGAAATGAAATAAGAATTTGATAAAAATAAACATTTGCTGATTTCTACAAATCTGATGAAGAAACAAACTCATCCTAATCTCGGATAGACTGAGAGTGAGAAGATTTTCATGTTTGGGTGATAAATTGTACTGCATAGTACTGCATGACTCTCTGAAGAACTTAAAAATATAAACAAAAATTATAAAACATAATGGACAGAGCTGCTTTAATGGCTTCATGATGCTGAATGTGTTTCAGGGTGTGAATGATAAGAGGCATTTCATCAGGACCAGCAGGCCAGCGGTCGGTTTAGTGGAGCGAACCCCGCAGCCACTGGACTCATGGGTCTGATCCGGCTCACGGTAAACCACACTATCACACTCTCATCACTTCAACTTCTTTTCATCTGTCAGTGAAGCCATGAAGGATAGTTACTAGTTATATCTTTGTATCATCAAACACATATAGAGTTTCATCCAATATTGACTTGAACTCTTTATTTTTACAGGTTGGAGATCCACTTTCAGACCTGCATTTAGACTGACATTATCAGCCTTCGGCACAATTCATCACAGAATCAAACGAGAGAAATACAGCATATCATACCTGTTCATGTCCACATCGAAAGAGAGCTGGAGGAATCGTGTCCGATCCATCTGGAAGTGGAATTTGACTCTTTGCTGCTTTGGCAGTCTTCACTGTTAAACTCAAGATTCATGATGATGTGACGAGTCATTTATTGATTGTTTAACATCTGATCATACATCATATTACGATCTTGTGTTGTTTCTATTGCTTATTTTTTGTTGATGAGTCTCTAAGTTGTATAATAGTGATGCAATCACACAGACAATTTCAGCTCTGTATCTAAAGTTTTATGCATTAAAAAAAAAAAGAATATTAATAGAATATTACAGAAACTGTACTTATTATAGCCTATATCAGAGAATAATATAAAAGATTTTAACGCATACATACGAAATTTCTTTCATAACATCAGTGATTTAATGGCTTGAGAAATAAACATCTCTTCTTGATAAATCTATTTCGTCATGCATCTAACAGAAAACAAGAGAAATAAAAATAAAATGAAACGTATTCTTGCTTCGTGGCAATTAATGTCGCAAGCTGAACGATTCACTCGTCCGGTGTGCATTCGAACGTTCTAAACGATTCGAAAGTAAAGAGTCGATTCAAATGATACGAGTCTGAAGCGTGTTTTGAAATCGCATCGGTTACAGAATCACTGAATCTTCAGATGCTGATTTGCAGAGATGAGTGAAAATCATCGATCACAGACGGAGAAGAACAAAACCACAATCACCACAGGTGTGTGAGACTCAATATTCATATTCACTTTTAATGTGCTTTATATCATTTTAACTTTATATGATCTGTGATCGAATCTCTTTGAAACAAGACGCTGAATCGATCATCAGTTCATGTATATTCAGAGCAGTTTCAGTGTATTTTAAGTTACAGTATATGGTCACTATAGTATACATGAGTAGATTGTGTGAGTGTGTAGTCATAGTTTCTGCTTTTACTACAGTAAATCAGCTGTCATTAGACATCAGACGATTTATTATTTGTATTTTTTTTTTTTTATTACAAATAATTTTTATAAACATTTATTTAAAACAATTCTTAACTGTTGGGGGAGATTCAGGTCAGGATCATTATAGTTAAAACGAATCATTAAATGAATGAATACACACATACTTGAAATAAAATAAGCATGAACTGAAATAAAATATAAAAAAGTACATTATTTTATTTTGATTAGTTGCCAAGGAAGCATATTTCAAATTTTCATTTAGATTAAGTACTGAAATAATTAAAATAAATAATAATAAAAACTTTAAAGACAGATGAAAAACTAATAAAAATGACAAAAACTCACTACAAAAAATACTAAAACTTTAACAAAATTTTAAATAAAAACTGCACTCACTGCAGCCCTACTCTTTTTATTTATTATTTTCACCAGACCATAATAACAAATTCTCAATTGATAATTAATCATTCTTTTTGCGAAAATTATTGTTATTTGTGAACGTAGGCACGTTTTGATTTTACAAAATCAGTTTGGGCGAATGCAACTTATTGATCATGAGCCCAACATTTAGCAAAAATGTTAAACATTCAGTCTACCTGAACGAAGACGTATTTCATTGTAAGTTAATGCTGTTAAATAGAGAGAGAAAAATACATTGAAAAAAAAATAAAAACTAGTGTAGGCTATTCTTAAACTTGGACCTCATTATATTGAAGTACAAATCCAAGCACCAGAAGCAACCTACACTCTAAGTGTTCTTTCATTGAAAAGTATGCATTTTTATTCATTCACAGGTTAAATGGTTGAAATAATATTTTAAGTGCCATTGTTTAAAAAATGCTTTATTGACTGACGCTTCATAGACCTTCAGTTGTTATGCTTTCAAATTCCATGCCATTTGTAATTTCACCTCCTAAATTACTACCCTTGTGAAGTCACAATTCTATAATGGTAAAATTTACTTGCATTTTTTGTATGACATTAATTTTTTTTTAGAATAATTGTACATAAATGGGTTAAGCAAAACAAAAGTGATTATTTCTGAGAACTTTTTAATTGCAGGCAGATATAGGCCTACATTATGGTACAGTACAAATATTTGGATCGTCCATTATTCTGTCCCTTATTTTCTTAAAGAATAAACACTATTTTCTTAAAGAATAAAAGATAAAGAATCACAATTAGCCCTTATTTTCCATTTCTGAAGTTAATTGGCAACCCTAATGATGATGTAATTATCTTTTGACTCCCCTGACGGTGGCACCTTTTAAAAAAAAAAAAAAGCAAAAACAAGAACCTCAGTTGTAGGAGATATGCGAGCGAATAATAGATTTAAAAAAGAAAAAGAAAAAGAAAAAAGTGGGCCGGTCTAATGCATGAAACTCCAGGGCTGAAAATGAGTCCCACTCCGGCCCTGTATGTGACCCTGGAGCACAACACCAGTCATAAGGGTAATTTTTTCTGAAATTGAGATTTATGCATCATCTGAAAGCTGAATAAATAAGCTTTCCATTGATGTATGGTTTGTTAGGATCGGACAATATTTGGCTGAGATACAACTATTTGAAAATCTGGAATCTGAGGGTGCAAAAAAATCAAAATATTGAGAAAATCATCTTTAAAGTTGTTCAAATGAAGTTCTTAGCAATGCATATTACTAATCAAACATTAAGTTTAGATATATTTACGGTAGGAAATGTACAAAATATCTTCATGGAACATGATTTTCTATAAAAATGATTTTTGGCATAAAAGAAAAATGGATAATTTTGACCCATACAATGTATTGTTGGCTATTGCTACAAATATACCCCAGCGACTTAACACTGCTTTTGTGCTGCAGGGACACATATCAATGATTCTTCAATAAGACAGGTACAGGGACTGTTTGTAACTTGTATACAGGTCATTGATATGTGAATGAGTATTGCATTAGAGGTTAAGAGATGTTTCTTTTTGTCCAGCAATGTTGTCCGGTGCTGCAGAAGCTCCATCCTCATCCATGAGCTCCTCTGATGTTCAATCATCAGCTGCTAATGAACCGGAGCAGGAGTCTGCTCCACAAACCCGCCGCCGAAACAAGAGCATCGGCGCGGCCCATCCCGCCATCTACTTAAACACCCGCTCTCACAAACTGCTCAGGAGAGCCATACGCATCTGGAAGATGCCGATTCCCATACTGAGCTTCACGGGATCTTTGAAGCCGAAGCCCAGAAGCTTCCGAGAGCGACTGAAGCGAGTGGAGATGCTTCGTAATCGGTGTGAAGACTCGAATAGTCCGAAGCCGATGACTCGCTCCGTCAGAGACCTGCAGCTGTGCAGCTCCGGGACAGACTCCTCTCCATCACCCTCCAGCACCTCCCTAAAGTCCCACCGCAGCCTCCGCATGCGGCCGGTCCACATGCTCCGCAGCCGCCGATATAGGAAACAGTTACAGCTCTACCGGATGCTGTCCAACAACAGGAGACGCAGACAGAGCGATGAGAAACCGCACAAGCTGGAGGTCAGTGACATGCCCTGGACCACAAAACCAGTCATAAGGGTCAATTTCTTGAAATTGAGATTTATGCATCATCTGAAAGCCGAATAAATAAGCTTTCCATTGATGTATGGTTTGTTAGGATCGGACAATATTTGGCTGAGATACAACTATTTGAAAATCCGGAATCTGAGGGTGCAAAAAAAATCTAAATATTGAGAAAATCATCTTTAAAGTTGTCCAAATGAAGTTCTTAGCAATGCATATTACTAATCAAAAATTAAGTTTTGATATATTTACGGTAGGAAATTTACAAAATATCTTCATGGAACATGATCTTTACTTAATATCCTAATGATTTTTGGCATAAAATGGATAATTTTGATCCATACAATGTATTGTTGGCTATTGCTACAAATATACCTGTGCTGCTTAAGACTGCTTTTGTGCTGCAGTTGCTCGTTCACTTCTAAATGAGTGAATGTCCTTCATTAGTATCTACAGAGCCCTTAAGGAGACGTGATGATGATGGATAAATATGAGATGGGAGGAAAATTGTATTACAATGCTTTTGCATTCACTCTCAAAACTTTTGCGTTATTCTGAGAAACTTTGCACTCATTTGCAAAACTTTTGCATTGCCCAGAAAAACTTTGCTTTAGTTTACAATTTGTGTTCTCTGGTAAAACGTTTGCGTTCCACATAGAAACTTTGCGCAGCGTTTTTGCTTTAGTTTACAATACATTTGCGTTTTCACACAAAACGATTGCGTTCCCCCGAGATACTTTGCGTTTTCTTTTTGTGTCCACTCCTAAAACTATTGCATTCCCTCTAGAAACTTTGTGTTCCTTTGCAAAACTCTCATTTGCAGTAATGTTGCGCTCTCTCACAAAACTTTGGCGTTCCTTCGAGAAACTTTGCTTTAGTTTACAATACACTTGCGTTCTTTCACCAAACTATTGCGTTGCGTTCTCTCACAAAACATTTGCATCCGCTCTTAATACAATTGACTTTGTCCTGAAAAAGCTGCGTTCTCTTACAAAACATTCACATTCGATCCTAAAACATTTGTGTTCCCACAAGAAACGGCGTTCGCTTGCAAAACTATTGCGTTTCCCCAATAAACTTTGCACTCTCTCGCAAAAGTACTGGAATATAGGTTTTTCTACCACCTCATATTATTTCCATCACAAAAATTATGAGAGCAAACACAACGTGTCTCAGGGAGATGGTGAATTTTTGCTTGGCTGAAAAATAAGCGAAAAACACCAAGGTCACTGATGCAACAAAGTGAAGCAACATAAATAGAAAACATAACACTTGAATGGTTTCTAGGTTTAGTTTTCATACCAGAAAATCAAAGCAGATCCACAAGGATAAGGAAAACCACAGACTGTCTCTTTAAGGTAAATGGTCGTAAAAATCCCGAGAGACTGAGCATAAAAGTGGGTCATGAAATGAGAGTGCCCTGAGGGAGCCTGGGAATATGGAGGGTTAAATCTGCAGTAATGAGCAGCTATACATTTTTTTTTTTTTTTTTTTTGCACTGAAATATATATTTTTTACTCGTACCTCTCTCTATTTTTTACTGTGTCCCTTTAAACCCAAAGTATACTTCGGTTATTACGAGTACGCGAGGGTCCGCGTACAGTGCGCGGTACGCAAATTTTGCCACCAGAATAGTATGCGCATGCGCATGTCGTGCATTACATTTTTTTTTTGCACTAATCAGTTGTTCCACAAGGTGGCAGCACTGATCCGGCCCGTTGTTTCACAGTAGAAAACGAAATTAAAGAGACGGAACAACAACAAAATAGCAGAGACTAAAACAACAACAGACAGCTGCATTGACAAGCGCTTGTTATGAGAGAGAAAATAACTTAAGATTAAAAGAGTACAAAGATATGTTTATCGGTCATAACTTCTGGAGAAATATAGTGCAGACACTGGACTAAGATGAAGCTTTCTAGAGCGCTTGTGTCGACTGCCTGCATTCGCGCATGATATCAAATGGAGAATCCTCTGAAAGGCTACTGTACGTGTTCTACTGTACACATACGCTAGCGTACGCATACTTTGGGCTTTAGGGCCTCCGTAAATCTCTGAAGCCATTCGCATTGTTGTTTTGACAGTAAAGTGTCCAAGTTCTTTCAGTGGTCACTGTTCAGTATGTCCTGCTTCGTCAGTGTCTTCAAGTGTTGTTTTCCTCACCGAACATCTCATCCGAATCTGTGTAGATCAGGGCTCATGAATGTGTCAGTCTGCATAATTAACCGTTTCATTACAGGGTCAGTCATCACCTGCGGCGCCCACTCGTGCTAAAGGTCAGTCTTTACCAAATTTGAATATCATTTGAATGTTATTTGAATATATTCATTCTCCAAGTGTGCACAAAGACAAAAGCAATTTGTTGAGGCTTCCAGGAGCTCTGGGGTACATGCATATATATATACAAGACAAGAATAGAAATAAATTATCAGTAATAAAAATAAAAACAAGTAATGCATGCATTTAGGTGGAGTAATCAGAAGGCTTATGTACAGATGCAAATTTGTATAAATGTAAACATATTGGCTTATACATAGTAAGTATCTATTTATTTATATGGCAAAACACCATATAAATATCATTTTAGAATTCATCTTCCATGTTTGCTGAGTTTATGATCTGTAGATATCACCCTTTTAAATTAGTTAAAAATATTATTGTTATTAAAGACAAAACTGGCTAAATATGGCTAAACATGCCCGAAATATAAGCATACGTGAATATTCAAAAGTTTGGTTTCTGAAAGATGTTTTAGTGTTTTTGAAAGAAGCATTTCAAAATGCATTTATTTGATCAAAAATATAGTGAAAATGTGAAATATTTTTAAAATGTCAAATAGCTGTTTTCTATGTGAATGTGTTAAACTGTAATTTATTTCTCTGAATTTTCAGCATCATTACTTCAGTCTTCAGTCTTCAGAAATCATTCTAATATGCTGATTTGCTGCTCAAGAAACATTTCTGATTATTAGCAATGCTGAGAACAGTCGTGCTGCACGATATTTTTGTGGAAACCGTGATGCATTTTATTTTTCAGGATTCACAGATGAACACATAGTTCAAAAGAACAGCATTTATTCGAAATAGAAATCTTTTGTAACATCATAAATGTCACTTTTGATCAATTTAATGCGTATGAATTTCTTTCAATAAAAATCTTACTGACCCCAAACGTCGGTAAAGATGAAAGACGACTTCTGAATCGGCATCCTCACACATGTGATCTGATCTCACAGGCTGCTCTGAGATTCAGGATGATCACCGAGATTCGTCGTCTATCCAGAGTCCTCCAGTGATCCCGGCGCCGCCGAGAAAAACCAGTCGCCGCTTGTGGCGCCGACAACTGGACAGCAGCAGTTCAGAAAACAGCCCGATGACCGCTAATCCAGTTAACAGACAGCGACCTGGGACAACAGACAAACCGAGTCACAACAGAAGGATTTCGTTTTCTTTGGCTGAGTTCGATTTCCCTGATATTAATTCTAGTGCAATCAAAGAAGCTTCTGCACCTGCACACAGAACCATTAACGGCCACGATTCATCTGATCTCAAACCGGACGTCCAAACCAATGAGGAATCAACAACTCACACTGAAACGAACGCAGATGAACATGAACAACATCTGCATGAAAAGCCTGACGCAACAACACCGGACTCTGAAGCATCTTTGGTTTCACGGCTGAAGATCTTTAAAGAAGAACTCAAACACTGTGAAGATGCCACTGAGATGAAACAGGAGCCAGTTCAGTTCAAGAATCCTTCATCCATCAGAAGCACACAGTCTAATGCAGACGCTCTTCAGAAACCAGACACGCCCAGACCGAAGTCAAGTGTGAAATGGAAGAACGTTATGATGCAGAGAGCGCTGTGCTCTTTTACCTTCCCGTATGAGAATCAGGATCCAACACACGAATCCTGGTGCAGCTTTACGCTGGCGGACGATTCAACACACGCAGGCCGAAGAGCTGACGTGACGCCTGAATGTCCTGAGAAACCAGCTGAAGATAACCTCAAGAACGGAGCTGCGAGAGATGCTTTCATACCACAGTAAAGCAACAGCTGAGGTACTTTAATGACTGATTCTTTCAATGGCTAAAGTCAGGATATTCTATATTATATTCATTGCGTTATTAAAGGAATAGTTCACCCAAACAAGAAAACGTGCTCATGCAAGATCAGGATGAGTTTGTTTCTTCACCAGGTTTGTAGAAATGTAGCATTGCATCAGTGTCTCAGCAATGGATGCTCTGCAGTGAATGGGTGCCGTCAGAATGAGAGTCCAAACAGCTGATAAAAACATCACAATAATCCACAGCACTCCAGTCCATCAGTTAACATCTGGAGAACACAAAAGCTGAAACTAATCCAGCATTAAGACGCTTCTAACTTTAAACCGTTGCCTCACCAAACAGAAATGTTTTAAGAACATTTTACTAACATTCTTATTAAGTTAAGTTAAAATGAATGTTCTCTGAACATTAAAAATGCTTCTACAAACCTGATGAAGACACAAACTCATCCTGATCTCAGATGATCTGAGGGTGAGTGCATTTTCAGTACATTTTCATTTTTAGTTTAACTATTCCTTTAAGGGCATGTGAATATGTGTCTTGTGTACATGTTCTTTAGTCTGGACAAGAAAGTGTTCTTTGAATATTTTCTCATTTCTGCAGATGTTTTGCCTTTATGTTTCCAAAATTAAGATGTTCATGTCCATTTCTAATCTGTTCCTCCTACAGTCTTCCTGCTGTCAGATGCTGCTGAATCCAGTGAATTAAAATAAAGACGAGAAGCATCACAAGGGCTGAATGTTGGATATAAGGACCAAAATTTATATGCTTTATATGATGTTGTTTTATATTAGTCCTACTGTGAACTGACATTTTTTTTAGCATTGACATCTGTGAGAATGAATTTTTAAACATTTTTTATGTAATTGTAATGAATGACCACATGATGGCAGTGTTACACAGTCACAAATTTTCACTGATGTGACAATAAATATGAGCATCATTCACATTTGTTGCACCAGTTTAACTTTAATATCATATATTAATCATCTAAATAAATATTTGAATGACAAAATCTTTATATATATATATACTTTAAATAAATTATATTAAATTACATTGTATCACAACATAATATATTATGTTACAAATATTTGTTTACTTCACTGCAGGACAACAACGGTTGTTTTATTTATCGTGAATTATTTGAAAGTGTTTTACTTTGTTTTTCATGCATCTGCATCTTACCTATAATCAATGTGTTAATTAATTAATAATTAATTTAGATTTTAATATGGCAACATTGAGTAAAAACGGAGTACTAGAGACCAAACAAATGAAGTGAAGCTGTTAATCAGGGTTTCAGGACACTGAGCAGTTTCTTCTTCATGAATTATCCATGATGCACTGCAGAAACAATCTTTGTTTTCCAGCCTAGTCATCACAGGATAGTTTCTGCATCCTCTTACGAGTGAAAATACATGTTAACACATTTGGACAAACACTGGGATGCTGATTTGTTTGATGTTTATCAAGTGAAGCACGTTTTGGTTGCTAAGTAACTCGAACGGCTAAAAAATGGTATAGGAATAATGACTTAACAGATGCATGAACCACTTTGATTTATTTGCAGAGAATTGTGGGTTAGGTGGATATTAAGAGTTTAAATAGAGCCGACAAACAGTTTGTAATGATTGTGCCTAGTGCATCGTTTCACTGGAAGAGGAAAGGCTATTTTAGCTCACAAACAACCCTAGTGGCCTGTGTTTGTTGTGTTTGTTGGAATGTGGGCAGCATTTCTGATGCCTGCGTGAGACTTTCTGAGCTTCATTAAACTGTCAATTTAACCTCTGCAAACCGCCTCATGATCAATTATAGTGCCATGCTTCTTCTCAAAACTACTTGACTCACCTTCAGAAGGGTTTCTCACGCTCTCTTCAGCCCTGTGTTTAGATCTGATCTTTATTTGTGAAAGGAGTTTGAAGCAACAGGTTATTTAAAAGAAGAAGAAGAAGAGACAGAGTGTGAGCTGGTCTAACAATCTCGTTTTTGGACTTTTGCACCTGAGACTGAGACATAGACAGCCAATAAACTAGTTTTGGCTCGGTTTTGTTCGGTTGGTTGGTGTAGGTGAGCAAATAGTTTATAAAAGGCATGAAAATCAGCTGAAAATGTCCTCACCCTCAGACCATCTGAGATGTAGATGAGTTTGTTTCTTCATCAGATTTGTAGAAATGCAGCATTGCATCAGTGTCTCACTGCAAGTGAATGGGTGCCGTCAGAATGAGAGTCCAAACAGCTGATAAAAACATCACAATAATCCACGAGTAATCCACAGTGCTGTGGATTACTTGTGGATTATTGTGATGTTTTTATCAGCTGTTTGGACTCTCATTCTGACGGCACCCATTCACTTGCATTGAGACACTGATGTAATGCTACATTTCTACAAACCTGACGAAGAAACGAAATTTTTCGTTTTTGGGTTATGTAATTAAATCAGCATTAGAAATGAAATGTCTCTGTATTTATTATAATGTCATTGCATGAGCGTTAAAAGTACTTGAGAGATTCAACAGGAGAGAATAATTACTTTTTAAAATGTATTACATTATCGAGAGCTGATATTAAAAACTAACATATGGGAGGTGGGAAATATGAGTCTAAATGTTGATTTAAAATGCTCATATCTCTTGCTTTCTTGCTGAGATTAACAGACTGTTGTAAAATTTGAGCTCTGTGTACAAACGTCTCTCCTGCTGTTTTTAAACCCTTTCGGGATCTGAGCTGAACCTGCATCAAAATGTCAGCGAGCACAGCTGGGGAATAAAAGCTGAACATTTGTTGAGAGATAAGAAGAATAAAGTCTTTAAAACTGGCAGCAACCCAAACCGTTTACAAGAACATTTTCATATTGTTTAATGGCACAGCAATAGCTCTTGCAGTTATGAATATGTTAAACATTGTATACTGCTGAATTTTTTTAATAAACATATCAGCATGATGCATGATGAGACACAGAACTAGCATTGTAATGCTGGGAATATCTTACTTGAAATGCTCTACTGATGGAAGAAAACAGCATGTTTCTACATGTACATTTCTTTTTGATGTTCATATTTCACCTCTAGCATAAATTCTTTATGCAAAACAACCCCAAAATGATAAAATAAAGAAATAAATAAAAAAGCTGGCATGGATGCATGCTATGCTCGGTTTTCCAAAATTACTTGCCACTCAGCATTTTCACCGGCCATAATTTTGTTGCTGGGAAATTATTTTTTATATGATTAAAGTTCACGACTGCATGCTAAAATTGACTTAAATTGGTTTCCAGGTCATTTTTGCCTATAAAAATGCATTCTTTTTACTAACCTTATTAAATGTATGCATAATTTTACTAATAATTACAGTTAATATAATGAGTCACTATAGGACTGTTACCAATTAAATGAAATCAGAATCAACAAAACAGATCTTTCCACTGCAGAAGCAGCTGAAGTGGCATTTAGATGCATTTTTACACAGACAAATGTAATGAAGCTCACATGGAGCATGCCATGAATGCATTTATAGGCTGCAAAATTACAACTGCATAAATAATGTTATGATTTAAATTACAATTTTAAATATACAAATATGAAATATTTTAAATATAAAAGTAAACCGCCAGCAGGTGGCAGCAAGTGACTGTCTTATTGAGTGAGTCATTGAGTCATTCATTCAAACGATTCGTTCAGACGGCTGATTCATTCAAGAACGAACCAAGTGCCTGTCTTTATAATTGGGTTACTGAATCATTGATTCGTTCGATACACTGAATCGTTTAGTAACGAATCACCGAGTGTGTTGCTCAGACATGCGCGACTAATGCTACAATTAACAATTTTCGTTAAATCGTGCACAAATCGGCCAAGTACACAGCCATCTGATAGCCTATATAAGCCTTTCTTAGATTTCAGTGTTTAGTTAATGTATTACACTGAGAAATTAGTCTCCCACACAGTAATGTAACTCTAGTACGGTATGTCGACCTAATTATGAATATGTGTGAGTCAGTTATAGCTCCACAAATTGAATATGCGCTCTAATTATATTGGTTTTAGCATTCATAATAAACGCCTTACTTAATGTAAGTGTTTAGAGTCATTTCTGTGGCAGTGATTATTAATCAGCAGGTATAGCCTAATCATCATTACACTAGATTAATTGCAGCACGTTAAAGAACAAACGGTCGTGAGTGACGTGTGAACGTGATTCATTTCAGGGAGTCGGTTCATTTGAGTGGTTCATTTAAATGATTCGATTTGTTCAGGTCAGCAATCAGAAATGTCCTCTTACCAGTTACAATACAAGTTTTTGTTTGAATAATATATGTGTGTGTTCTGTGTATATTTACTATGTATATGTAAATACACACACATACAGTATATATTTTGAAAATATTTACATGTCTATATTTATATTCACATAATTTATATGATAAATAAATATATTTATTGTATAGAAACATATTTAAAATATTCAATTCTGAATATTACTCTGTTAACAGCTCCAAACATGTGTCTCGCCTTACAGTTTTGCATAATAGTCAAGTGATTCACAAGCGAGTTGGTTCAAGTCGGTTCAAATGAATCAACCGGTTCGTGAATCGAACATCAGTGGCGCGAGCAGGAATCAGTGCAGAGTTGATCAGAGACGGACTCGATCATAACTGAGCCGTTTTTACACTTATTTTATTCAACCACTGCGTTTATTTCACCCTTTGAGCGGAAGGAGAGTAAGGTAAGATCTTTGTGACTCTCATTAACCGATAAAACACAAATGTTATTAACTATTTCAGCTGCTTTGATCAGTTTCTGCACCTGAGGTGAAGTTCTCTCAGTCACAATCACCGCAGCTTTATCCCTCTGTTTGTACAGATCACTGCTGAATAATGTGGAAAAGGTTCAGATTTAAGGATAATAAACATGTCTTAAACATTCATATTCCCATACGAACAAAAAAAGATGAGAGATGTGCGATTTGTCGGTTGGGACAAGCAATTTTTTCCTCAGAGTGCGTTTATTTATGTAACTTACCACAGTTTCTATATTAGGAATTAACCTTAAAGTCTTGGCTATTAACTTTTAGTTATTAAACATTTCATATTTGTTGTACTCGGAAAAAAAAAAAAATTCATTGTACAGACGTTGAATGATCCGGGGCATGTTGTCACAATTTTTTTTTTAGCAAATTTAACAGTAAAGCAATTCTGAAATGGCAAAGGGGAAACATGTAGTATTAAAAAATATTGTTTTATCCCAGATAACTAGGTAGTTAAATACATAAATAAGATATTTGTATAATGACAAATAAACACGTTTTATCTTGTCCCAGTAATAAAAACAATAATAATGCAATTTTAAGAATGAGAAAAATAAAACACAACCTGTCAGTAAATCTGAGTTTGTGATATTATCATTTTAGTTTGGATGACATGAAAATCCACAAAAACCACTCTAATGTAAGACTGTTTTGATTATATGTTTGAGAAAACAAGCATTTGTGTAATTGGACTTTTGATTAAAAACCTCTTAGTTTCTGAGATCTAGACCTGTGTGTTTCTTGTATATTTGACCTCAATCCGATTCCTCAATAATGGTTTTTAAACTATAAATAATCACTTCAGCAAACCACTTACGCTTCACAATATGAAAGATTTTAAAAGCTGCTCTGTCAACAGGGTTCAGATGTTTTTAACAGGATTTTTCCGTTTTAAATGTTTTGTTGCTAAATGTCAGTAGTATTTATGGAAGCTTGTTTACACC